CCCAACACTCTCTGGGCTGTTTGTAAACTTCATTCTTCCAAAAATTATGGTGTTCTATGACTTGTAGCCCCATGGCATCACTGAGAGAATCTCATTGCTAAGACGAACTTTTGAAACAGCAAAAACTCTGGATTTACTGAAAGCATGACATAGTTTCCCAATTGTGATTCAGCTTATATTCCTACTCAGTTCTAGGCCTGGTCTACTGCATACATCCAAGATCTACCAATGGCCCATCTCAACAAACTTCCCCTCCAATCTTCTATCATAGGCTGAGCAGTGCGCGTTTTTCATCTTCCTTGTTTTCTAAGTGTGAATGGTCTAAATCAATCTCTCTTAAAAGACATTCATCTCCAAATTCCCACACTTTGAAAAAAGCATAGGGCTCTCTAGAAGATTTCTTGGTGCATCAAGTACATGAGCATCTTCATGTAGTATGAACTGAAGACAACCCCTTAAAAGTAGAACATGTGGATCTGCTTGAAATACCAATCCTGCACGTTCCTCCTCAGGACTTCAGAAAAGAATATGCCCAAATCTCAACCAGGTTCACAGGGATGAAGGAAGTGATAAGGACAGACTGTAAGGATCTTCACATTAAAAATGAAGCCAAGTCATTCCCTCCACACTTGTAAATACTTAAATACTCTGCTTAAAGGCTCTTTCTATTAAATTCCTTCTGTGATTGGTGCTTCCCGTTATAGAGCATAATTATGTTATCCGTCATGTGCCAAAAGACTTCCTGGCCCACGTCAGCATCTATTTGGCTCCCCACTGAGTTCCTTTCATTCCCCTAAATGCACACGTGACAGTTCAATTCATCTACAGAGTTATGGACCCCTTAGAAAAGCAATGCAATTACACCAGGCAGGTGAGGGGAAGTCTATCTCTGCTTACAAAGAAGATTGGTAGATGATTTTTCCTTTTCATTTCAAAGTTGTCAACAGAGAGTCCTAAATTCATCATCAACAAAAATAAAGTTTCAATGGACTTCTCTCAAGCAGAGCTTCCAATTTCATCTTCACAGTTTTCCTACTGAAGTTACTAATTACCAATATTCTTCCCATAATGTCATATGGTTTTGAGAAATGGAACACTGGTGTCTTCTCTGAAGAAGTGAAGTCAGGGCTCATCCAAAAGGCAATGGAGAGGTGCCGGCTGGGTGTGAGCAGGCTCCAGCTCATTACCAATGAGGAATGATATAGGGAAAGTGGTAGAAAAGATGTCATTAGAGAAATGTATTCATGAAAAATAAGATGGTCACATGACAAAAGCAAGGCGCTACCAGGCAATTCAGCAGCACAACAGATGGAATGCTAGACTCGGAGTCAGGAGGATGTGAGTTCAAATCCTGCCTCAGATACTTAACTAGATGTGAGACCCTGAGCAAGTCATTTCACTGCTTTGTGCCTCAGTTTTCTTTTCTATAAAATGGGGATAATAATAGCACCTGCTTCCCAGGGTTGTTGTCAGGATCAAATCAGAGAACATTTGTAAAGTACCTTGTAACCCTTAAAGCTCTACACAAATGTTATGACTATAACCACTGGAGAGTCCATGTGCTCTGTTGGCATCCTTGCACTGTCTGGGAAACACCAAGAAGGTCTCCCAGCATGAGTGAAGCCCATATCTAAGACAAGGACAAGAGTCACACAGGATGGGCAGATAGGAATGCCTCACCATCTGCTTCTTTGGAAGGATTATGAACCTTGATGAAATCAGAGACACATTAAAATATTGGAGAATTAGATAAAGAAGATTTTTCTGCCCACGGGAAGATTATCTTTGGATCTTTCCAACTTCTTCTAGATTCTTTTTCATGATTTCTTTTTGTTTGTTTTGGCTTTTGTTTCCTTGAATTTTAGGACAAAGGTTATGTCCAAATATCATTGGTGTGTTTTTTTTTTAACTTCTGAGTCAGTCAATAACTATTTCTGTATCTCTGCCGTGTGTTCAGCACCACACTAGGGGCTCTGGAAGATAGAAAATCAGGCTAAGACATGATCCTGCCTTCAGGCAGATCCTCATTTATGTGGGGGGAAAGACTAGCTCTAAAACCATAAACAATGTAAGCGTATAATGAAGTGGTAAGTTATTATGGTGGGAGCCCCAAGTACTGCCGGGAAACTGAGGCAGGAAGAATCTGGGAGGGCTGCGGTGTCAGGAAAGGCTGCATGGAAGAGGTAGATCTTAAGCTAAAACACTGTATTTTTACCTTGTTCAGAATGCCTATCAAGAGAACGTAAGCACCCTGGAGATAGGTAAGTCCACTCCTGACTCCAATCTTCTCCCACCTCCACCCCCTGACTCTCAGAAACTGGTAATGGCTACTGCAGAGGAAGAGAAATTGGGAGGTACCTTGCTTTCTCATGGATTTCTAAGCGTAGGTCAGACACCAGAGAGCTGAGAATGAACGTTTGCGACCCAAAGAGATGTCAGCGGCAGGAAGACGGATAGATGTCTACAGACAGGCATGGCCATGCAGACACGGGCTTGCCTCCATGGTGCAAGAGAGAGGTCAGTTCATAAACAACGTTCCCAGATCCCGACCGACCCTTTGCAGAGCAAGGAGAATGTCAGTGACTTAAAAATCAGAACCACTGCTGAGCCCCCAGACTGGGCATCTGCAGCTCCCCCCTCCCCTGGAGCCAGGCTTTGTTGCTATTCCACCACTTCAGTCATTCTGGCTGTCTGTAACCCCATTTGGGGGTTTTCTTGGCAAACAAAGAGTGGGGTACCATTTCCTTCACCAGTCCTTTTTACAGATGAGGAAACTGAGGCAAACAGACTTGCCCAGGGTCACATAGTAAGTGTCTGCGGCCAGGTTTGGACCCACGAGTCTTCCTGATTCCAAGCCCAGTACTCTATCCACCATGCCACCTAGCTACCCCTCGGAGGCAGGCAGCACATTGGAAAGAGTGCACAGGAAAACATGAGTTCAAATCCAGACCCAGACACTTCCTAACTGCATGACCCTGAGCAAGTAATTTCACCTCTGTCAGCCTCAGTTTCCTCAAACTGTAAAAAACCAAAACAAAACACCCAGCACCTCCTTCCCAGGGAAGTTGTGAGGATGAAAAGAGACAATATCCATAAAGTACCCAGCACAGTGTCTGGCCCATAGTAGGTGCTTAATACATGCTTGTGTCCCTTCCTTCTTTCCCTCCAGCCCAGAGAGGGAGCGTTCCCTTTGATGTCAAGTTTCTAGACTCCCTACCCCTTTTACTGGAAAGAGTGGGGGTCAATGAATCTCTCCCTGTTCATCATCTCCCCTACTTCCCACTCAATCCACAGCTCTTACAGTACATCATGGGCAGCTTTTTGTGGCTGCAGAAACTGGGCACAAAGTGGGTGCCTGCTGATTGGCTGAACCAATGGAGGAACATGAATGGAATGGACTCCTATTGGGCCACAAGAAACAAACTTTGAATAGGAGGAATTTGGGGAAGCATGGGGAGGCTCGTAGGGAGCTCAGAGGAGCTTCCTGTCCTGCTGCTTACTTCCTAGGTGACCTTGGGCAAACCATTTAAGCTCTCTTGGATTCAACTTCATCTGTGAAAGTGGAGGGGGTGGGTGGGACTAGGTTACCTGGCCATGGCCCAAACCGATGATGACACAGAATCCAATCAGAAAACCAGGCTAAAGATGAAAAGTCCTTCCAATGAGAAGCATACATACAGCAAAAAGTACACTTTCCAACAAGTTTAGAAAAAATGGGAAAATGTTGTTGATGCCAAATCCTTAGGATAACAATTTACAGATCAGTGCTGATGACGTAGGTCGGTGAGGTGGTGCAGTGGATAGAGCACCAGACCTGGAGTCAGGAAGGCCTGAGTTCAGTTTGGCCTCAGACACTGACTAGCTGTGTGACCCTGGGCAAGTCACTGAACCCTGTTTGCCTCAGCTTCTTCATCTGTTAAAAAGAGCTGGAGAAGGAAATGGCAAACCACTCCAGTATCTCTGCCAAGAAGACCCCAAATGGGGTCACAGAGAGTCAGACACAACTTAAACGACTCACCGACAGCAACAGCAAGCCTGTGAACTCTGAAGACTAGCCTAACCCAGGTTAAAGGAGAGTGCCAGGGGCAGCTAGGTGGCGCAGTGGATAGAGCACCGGCCCTGAAGTCAGGAGAACCTGAGTTCAAATCCAGCCTCAGACACTTGGCACTTACTAGTTGTGTGACCCTGGGTAAGTCACTTATTGACCAATTCCCTAAAAATAAAATAAAAAATAAAACAAAGGAGAATGCCAATCCCAAAATGATGGTGTGCCCTCCCCCTCTTGGTGGAGAAGGACCGCCATCTATTATATATTACGTATTAGGGTGAGAATGGTGCATACACATTCAGATATGGCCATGGGGTTGGTCCCACTTAGCTGTTTATCTTTGTTACAAGAGAAAGTTCAATGGAGATCCCGGATATCAGGAAATCTTGTTGGTATTTTTAAAAGGCTTCAATAAACCTTTTCTGTGGGAAGTACAAATTCTTGCTCTTCTATAGGACGGAGTAAATCACATGTTCACACAGCAGGGAGGGGTGGGTACCCAAAGGGACGCTCCACCTGTCAGTGGGTGGAAGTGGACCCAACCTGATGCCATGCCCCATAAGTCCACCGCAGGAGAGCTATTTGTCTGAGCAGCCAGTGAGAGAGGCCTTCCATCTGTAATTAGGGCCCACAAGAAACAGCCCTTGCCTGTTCTGCTCCATCAGCATGGGCCCAGCAAACATCCTCATTTTCAATAACTCTTCCTCTTTATCTCACTCTGCCTGATGCCTAATAAGCTGATTGCTATTTACTTTGGACCAACAGCTAATCTGTTAATGATTGATTTTAAATTTTTACAGTCATTTGTCTCTGGCAGAACTTGGGACTTGGAAAGGCAGGCCTTTCCTACCTGACGAATTGGCTTTTCTTTAAAAAAAAAAAAAAGACTAAGTCCAAAGTCTTCTCTGCTGTGTTTTGCTGACAAACAATTGACACAGAGTTGAAGCAAAGCTAAAAATGAAATGGAGAAATCTTCAGATAAAATCCGTCTGCCTTTGAAACCAACTGTCAGCCCCTAATGTGAGTGGACATTTTGTTAATAGAGGTGAGGAAGGGGAAGTCTCTCCACGCGTGGAGCAAATCCTAATTGTACTATGAATTTGAAGAGCTTAAAATTCTAATTAATGAAATTGATGCTCATCACCCAGCCTGAAATAGGGCATAGAAACCAATGCACTTACCACCCTAGAGAATGATTGAAACTGCATGCCCTATGATATACGTATTAGTGGGATCTATGCCGAAGAGTGGATTTTGTTTGCTCCCCCATCAAAGGACTCGTGGGATGGATGGTGGTTATTTTAATTGGTAGCACGCAGCAGTGCTCCACTATTTAATCATTGCTTCTAAAAACGGAACAGCGGCCTAGAGGATATGGCTGTGCCCTAGAAAGTCGGGCTAGAGAATCCTGCGTAGGAGGGCTACGAGCTTTCATAAATGCTACGACATTAAGTTTTCCTTCGAGACTGAGTCTCTAATTTTGTCAACAAGAATGACCCCCAAGGCTGGCGTTCAAAGCAAGTGTTTATTAAAGTGCACCCCAAGACCTCCTGCCTCAAAATTGAATTACACTTGTCAGAGTGTCTTTTAAAAATGAAGGCGAGTCTGCCTCAGAGTGCTTTAAAATTGGATGAGCTTCTGTGTTACACTGTTGAACAGCAAACTGGATATCGAAGTATCTTTCCTGAGTACCATAGTTCTAAATAGACAGACTGGACACCGCCAGGGCCTCTAAAGGGAACCGCTAAACTATTTGAAGGAGAAAAGCACTCATTAATATTTGAGAGCCTGCAAGACGGCGAGGCTCCATCGGCTGTCAGCATTCCCAAGAAAAGAGAGAGCCAGCATTGGGGGCAGCCACAGTGGGCTGCCCACAACGGGCTATTGACCTCCCCGTGAAGCAGATATCAGCCGACAGAGCCTGCCTATCTCAGCAGTCGAGCTGGAAACAGGAGAAAGTGTTAAATATAACCAGGTAGACAGTGATGAATTGACATACTGGAAAATCGAACGCTTCAGTAATCAGCCTAAGGATCTGATATCAACAACATTTTTCAGTTTTGTCCAAACTCATTGAAAGGTGTACTTTAGCACACTCACTTCTCATTGGAAGGACCTTTCATCTTTAGGCGGGTTTTCTGATTGGATTCTGTGTCTTCGTCGGTTTGGGTCCTTCTAGGCAGACGAGACAGACAGGTGGGGTCCATGAGAGAAAACCAGTAAGAAGGATGAACATGGATATAAATGGGCTGTGTGCTGCCATTAATTAAAAGCAATTAAATATCTATTGAAATGGGTGTTTAGAGAGAATTCTGAAAGCCACAAGGTAAGAAAAGGCATCAGGTACTGTAGTCCAAAGACATAGTAAATGTGAAATATTGAAATATCCCCATATATTTAGCAGTGGGAAGCTTCCTTGACTATAATTCTAATTACAGAAGTCTAAGTAATGTCTGCATGGCTTCAGATAACTTCATTAAATCTTTGGGATATTTATATTATCCAAAGACAATCTCCATCCATTAGAGTAAATAAATCTTTTAAAATAACTTTTAAAATGCTTATAGATATGTTTTAGTGGAGTAGAGCTCACCCCACAAAGCACTTAACCCATATCCCTCACTCTAAGGGCTTCCATTTATCTCCCTATTTTCATAATTAACAATATCTTCATATAATTATTATCATTAGTATTCCATAATCATCATCATCATCAAAGCAGGCATTTCTATCGCACCTTGCATAAGTTGGCTCATTTGACCTGCACAACAATAACCCTGGGAGAAAGGTCCTCTTGTCTTTCCCATTTTACAAATTCCGGGTCACATAATTATAATAGCTAATAAAAACGGTGTTCGCATAGCTCTTTAAGCTCTTCCCGCAACCCTGGGAGGTAGGTGCTATCACTATTTCCATTTTACAAACGAGGAAACTGAGCCTGAGAGAGGAAAAGTGAAAGCAGGGCCAATTTTTTGCCTTTCTTTGTATCCTGAGCGCTTCACGTGGTGCCTGGCACATAGTAGGCACTTAATGACCTATAGATGACTGATAACTGACTAACAGACTTACCTACAGTCATATAAGTGTCTGAGGCTGAATTTGAATTCAACTCTTCCTGATTCCAAGTCCAGTACTCTATCCACTGAGCCACTTAGCTGTAGTGTCAATCAATCAACAGCATTTATTAAACACTACCAGGCAGTGGGGCTACAAATACAAAATGGAGATCATTCCTGCCCTGAAGCAGGACATTCTAACACAGGGATACAATACGCTTAGGGGAAGGTGGCATTTGAACCCAGGACTCACAAAGATCACTTTACTCTGAGGAGGTTAGAATAGAAGATCTCAGGGCAGCTAAGTGGCACAGTGGATAGAGCTTTGGCCTCAGAGTCAGGTGGACCTGAGTTCAAATCCGGCCTCAGATACTTGACACTTACGAGCTGTGTGACCCTGGGCAAGTCACTTAACCCCAACTGCCTCACCAAAAAGCAGGAAAAAAAAAAGAATAGAAGATCTCTGGTTCCGACATTCTATGATTCTATGATTACAGGGCATAATTGGGGTGCTATAATTGTAGCTGACAGAAAGATAGAGTGGCTGCCTCTAAGAACAAAGATGAAACTCCTCACAGCCCTGCCCCCCAGGATGACTGAGAAGGAATGCAGCCACCTATAAGAAGTCAATTATTTCATCATTCCTCCCCCCAGAATATGGAAGCTGTCGCATCTCTCCAAGAATAAGTTCCACATCATTCAACAGCTCCCCCCACATGAGACTAGCAGCCCGGGCAGAGTCGAGTCCCAGTCTATGAGAGAATCACTCGATCTCAAAAGAATTGAAGGGGACCTCAGAAGCCATGGAGCCCAAAGTATTCCCCTCTAATGTTCTCCTAAGTCTTCACTTAAAATCTTCCAATGACAGGGATCCCGCTTGGCATTTACTACCTTCCCTGGCTTCAGCTCCAGGGAACAAGATGCCCCTCACGGGACAAGCTCATCACTTCTAAGCTCATCGCTATGCCGCCCACCTCCCTCTGCCTCCTCTCCCTTCTCATTGGAAGGCTGGAAGGCAGAGAACCAAACTCCTCCCAGAGCCTCCCTTTGGAAAGGGCAGAAACTGGACTTAGATCACCTCACTTTGCGTCTGCTGCCCTGCCTGGTTTCAGCTCCACAGAACAAGATACCCTGGTGTCCCATTCCTCACACCCCCCCTGCCCTTTCTTACCTCCTTCCCCTTTAGATTATAAGCTCCTTGAAGGTATGGACTGTCTCTATTTGTATTCATTATAATTAATAAATTAGTGTTTAGGACAGTACCTGATATATCACAGACACCTAATAAATGTTTATTGGATTTATTGGATTGGATTGGAACCCACTCCCTTTCAGAGCAGCCTATTTCTATATTTTGGACAGCTCTAATAACCAAGCAGTTATTCCTTTCATCTGTCTTCTTGTTCTTCAGTCATTTTCAGTCATCTACAACTCTTCATTACCCCATTTGGAGTTTTCTTGACAAAGACATTGGAGTGGTTTGTCATTTCATTCTCCAGCTCATCTCACAGATGAGAAAATTGAGGCAAACAGGGTTCAATGACCTGCCCAAGGTCACACAGCTAAGACGTGTCTGAGGCTGCATTTGAACTCAGGGAGATGAGTCCTCCTGACTCCAGGCCCAGAGCTCTTTCCACTGCAGCACCACCTAGCTGCCTCCAAAAGTGGTACAAAGCACCCTAAGTAACTTGCAGACACACTAACCTGGATGAGTCAGGCAGAGGAAGCATTTGACCTTGAAATGTCTAGATGCGCTACCTGGGACAGCTCAGAACCATCAGAGAATGATAGACTGAGAGCCTGAAGGAAGGTGAGAGAGTGTTGTCTCTTCCAGCACCCTCCTTTGACAGACAGTGAGGCTTTAACTACAGAACAGGACACCATGACTAAGCTTCAAAGGCAAAGGAATTATTTTTCTTATATTTGGGAATGTAATTAAAATAAAAGTGCCTAAATTGAAATGTCTTTTGTAGATTGCAAGCTCCTTGAAGTCCATGACTCCATCTACAACCTAAGGACTGAGTCCTGGGATAATTGAGCTGGAAAGGACCTGAGGAGTCATCTAGTTCAACCCCTTGCCTACTTTTACAGATGAGGTAAATAATAATAATAATAATATAATAATAATAATAATAATAATAATAATAATAATAATATGAGCCCCAGAGGAATAAAGTGACTTCCCTGTGGCCACACAGCTAGTTAGGTAGCTGCTAAGACAGAATTCAAGGCTATCTCCTGATTTCCATGTCCTGTGCTCTTTCCAGCACAATACATTGACTCCATGATATTAATTCAAGACTTCAAAACAATTAAGTCCCTTTTATAAGACTAAAAACCACTCTGTTATAAAAAAAATTAAGGAACATAAAAAGCACTTTAGCTGAATTGAAAAACAAAGCCTGGTCTTGGCTCCATTTCATTCTTAGCTCAATAAAGGGATGGAAGTTTTGTTTAAACTTCACATTTTTAGACTCATTCACTTATTCTTTTTTCCCTATTCATTTATTCTTACAAGCAGTTTTGGGGAGGGTGCCTATGTGCCTAGACAATACTAAGCTCTGGAGGTAAGATGGAAAATGAGGGTAAGGAATGGTCCTACTTCCTCCCTAAGAGCCTAGAATCTAGCTAGTCGGGTGACACAGACACATGAAGATGTAATTAATAATACAAGGCAGTATGTGATTAAGTGATAGAAGTCTAGCCCGCTCCCACAAAGGGCTTTCACCAGCTTTGAAGTGGTCTATAAGTCAGCATCCACTCAGAATTGAGCTCTGGCCATATAGAAGATACATTTAGCATTCAAACAGCAAAGCAAATCAGTAACGAGAAAAGTTTATGGGATTCCACACACACACACACACACACACACACACACACACACAAGTGACCATTCTACCACTAAGGGAAGGGACACACATCCAGAGAACATGGATGAAGAAACAAATGCAGGAGACTTATGTGGCAAGGGGCCATACATGGCCAGGGAGACTCATGTCTCCAGTGCAATAGGGTTGTTAATGTCCCATTGTGGTATCATCACACTTCTCTTTACTACTCTCCCAGGCATCAAATCATCCTTCTGTGCTGTGTGTCATGCCTCTAAAACCCTCTTGGCTTCAGTTCTTCAGGGTTGTCTGACAGCTCTCTCTGCTCCCATCTACTACAATACAATGTCTAGGAACCTTCTTACTAATAAGAATAGGCTGAGTTCTGTTAATGCATAGTCAAAGGAATTCTGAGCCACCAAAATTAGCTAAGGACAGTGCCCCCAGGCTGATTAGGTCTATCCTTTTGACTGCCTCTGTCTGGCATTAATTTGAAGGCTTGTCCAAGACCACTTATCTGACTTAGGGTTAGAACATTCCTTATTACTCTCGTTTCATTGTTGATGTGGATCCTATGCCTCCCAAACCCAGGATCTGTGTTGAGGAAGGGATGTGAAGTCCATCTCGGTCCCACAATCCTCCCCAGAATTGGAATGAGGTTGAATCTGAGCAAGAATAAAACCAGGCAAAGGAGGCAAGGTCATGGCCTCCATCATCATGATTCACTTTCCTGACTTCATCATGTTAACCTGCCAGAAACTAGCAATGCATGGACATTTTGCTCTGGCTGGCACAAAACCTCAATACCTCCCTACCTAGGCAGTACATGTCATGTGGGCATGGAAAAGAAGAGGTTAATCTGGCTTGGCACCATCAGAAAAGACAGATTGGAAGAAACAGAAACTCAAGGTGGGCTCTGAAAAGTGAGCAGAATTTGGAGGAGGCAGGTGGGGAAGAAAGGTCTCCCAGAGGGAAATAACATGAGTGAGAATCAGAATTGTACATCCCACAATTGTTATCAAGAGGGCAGAGTTTGTGCTGGAGAGTAAAGGAAGCTGCCACAGAGTCAGAAACCCTGGCAAACTCCACCAGCTTTGAAAAGTCTCCGTAATGTGACCTCCTACCTACCTTTCCAGTCTAATTTCACAAGGCTTCCCTGCACAAGTTCTCCATTCTGATCAAACTCACCAACCAGCTCTTCCCATCCTTATTCCACCTCCTTCTCTTCGCATGCACAGCTCTGCAATAAACCCCCTCCTCACCAAAGCCTCACCAAAGCCTCAACTCCCTTCCAAAGTACAGCTCAGAGGCCACCTCCTGGAAAGGTTTTCTCATCTCCCATTACAAAGAGTCAAATCCAGTTGTCTCTCTCTAAATGTATTTGGGGAAGGGGTCATGGGCTTGTAGATTTAGAGCCAGAAGCAACCTTAGAAGTTAGCGGGTCCAACCACCTCATTTTACAGGTGAGGAAACTGAAGCAGAGAGAGGGGAAGGGGCTTGCCCAGGGTCACACAGCTAGTAAATGTCTGAGGTAGGATTTGAACCCAGTCCAACACTCTCTCCATTTCTCATAGCACAGCTCAGGTGTTGTAGATTACCCCTCTTAAAATTACTTTGTCTATCTTTTGTATTTATGTACTAGTATACATGTTTTAATACCTCCTATCCCCTGCCTCTTACTGCCACCCTGGACATTGTAAGCTCTTTGAGGGCAGAGATCCTTTTCATTTTATCTTTGGATACCCAGCACAGCCCAGCATACATTATATGTTTAATACGTGTTGATCGAATGTAATTAAATTAATACAGAAGTAAGATTAGCCCAGCCAAGGTGGATTACTGAAAATTCTGCCCGAGTTTGAAGGGGTACTATTTAATTATAACACTGATGATGTGAAGATGGCCAGGGCTCCTCATTCACCTTTACTGAACACCTGAAGCAAAGCTGCAGCCTTCTCAGTGTCCACCCTGCTCCAAACATGTACGTGGACTTAACTAATTGGAAGGATTGTGGGAATTCCCCATCATCCACACACAGCCCACTCCCCATTGATCACAACTCTAAATGCATTTACCTCTTTTATTTGCACTTAATTCAAATTCCTAACTTATTAATGTATTGGCTTAGTGTATAAACTTAACATCTGTCTGGGTCATTATTGTTTGTCTTAAACTGCAAGGTACCAAAGATACTTCTGTTTTAATTGACCTACAAGTCATATTCTCTTTCTCTCTCTCTCTCTCTCTCTCTCTCTCTCTCTCTCTCTCTCTCTCTCTCTCTCTCTCTCTCTCTCTCCCTCTCTCTCGTCTCTCTTTCCTCCTCCCTTCCCCTCCTCTCTTTTTCTCTAAAGAAAAAAAATTCATCCTCCCTCACTTCAGAGAGATGGGAAGCTACCAGAACAGTATAGTGAATACATTGGCAGACATAATATCTGTTTTGGGTGCTTTTGCCAAATTATTTTTCTTTGTCACAAAGTACAGTGGGTTCAGTCTGGAAGGGAAAAATGACTGGAATATCAAGACAAAAGGCATCACTAAAATGTTTTAGAAAGGAAAAGGAAAAATCCAAGCCCTCCTCTGATGCTTTATCATCTCCTAGAGGTGGCCCTGGGCTCCCAAAGTCTATACCTGCAGAGCAAAAGCTAGGAAGGCTGAAAGTACAGGCCTAGAGAATATATGTTAACTCAACTGGGGGCCCAAATTAGCTAAACTCAGCAGTATTCATCACCTGGTTGGCCTGAAGTGTCAAATATTTTGGCCACAGCAGCTGTCTTCTAAGTCATCAGGGGACTGAGATTCTAGCAGATGGAAAGGGTGCCCAGGTGAACAAATGTATGGGTCCTGAAAGCATTGAAGGGTTGGGTGATTGCACCACTTATCACAGGCCCGGAGAGACTCCAATTAGCTGGCTGCACCACTGACCATGTGGGACAGGCAGTCCCAGACAGAGCACACAGAAGAGGCAGAGCAGAACCGGCTGACTTATCAGATCCTGACTTACTAGGACCAGGAAGTGGGGGTCCCCTAGACCAAGCCTGAAAGTAGGGCCATTACATGCCCAACAGACATGGAAAACGGGACAAGGCAATAAAACGGGACAATCCAGCATGGAAGGGGGATGTCTGGCAACTCTGAGATAAGCACACAGTAGACACTATATAAATGTTTATTCCCTTCCCCCTCCTCCTGATCCCCACTCCAGGTTCAGCTCAAATGCCATCATGTATACCATCACAAGGAGTTTTTCCTGTTTTCATCACTCCTCCTACACTGAAATTACCTTATATGTAAGTATACTTCCCTCTCTCCTGGTCTCTGCAGAATTCTCCCCCTTCCCAACTCCCTCAGGAGACTCCCCCTTTCCAGTTCCTTTTTATTTGTTGTCTTCCCACGTTAGAATGAAAGGTCCTTGATGTGAATTCATCCAGCCATTCTAGAAAGCAATTTGGAATTATGCCCAAAAAGCTATTAAACTGTGCATACCCTTTGATCGGCAATATAGTTACTAGGTCTGTGCTCCAAAGAGACCAAAGAAAGATGAAAAATGACCCACACAAATCATCGGCATCTCTACACATTACTAGCAAAAGATAGAAAGAGAAAGTCCATTTAAAATTACTGTAGACATTATAAAATATTTGGGAGTGTACCTGCCAAAACAAAACCAGGAACTATATGAACACAATTACAAAACACTTTTCACACAAATAAAGTCAGATCTAAATAATTGAAAAAATATCAGTTGCTCATGGGTAGGCCGAGCTAATATAATAAAAATGACAATTCTACCTAAGCTAATTTTCTTATTCAGCACCATACCAAACTACCAAAACATTATTTTAATAGAGTTAGAAAAAATAATAACAAGATTCATTTGGAAAAACAAAAGGCCCAGAATATCAAAGGAACTAATGAAAAGAAATGCAGGAGAAGGTGGCCTAGCAATTCCACATCTTAAATTGTATTATAAAGCAGCAATCATCAAAACTACTTGGGACTGGCTAAGAAATAGATTGGTGGTCAGTGGAATAGGTTAGGCACAAAAGACAGCAGTCAATGAATCCAAGATTAGGAAGGAAGCAGAAAACTGGGAAAGAATTTGTACAACCAGTGTCTCTGCTAAAGGCCTCATTTCTAAAATACATAGAGAAGTGAGTCAAATTTATAAGAATACAAGTTATTCCCCAATTGCTAGATGGTCAAAGGATATGAACAGGCAGTTTTCAGAGGAAGAAATCAAAGCTATCTATAATCATACGAAAAAATGTTCTAAATCACAACTGATTAGCGAAATGCAAATCAAAACCACTCTGAAGTACCGCATCAGATTGACTAACATGACAAAACAGGACACTGATAAATGTTGGAGAAGATGTGGGAAATTTGGAACACTAATGCATTGTTGGTGGAGTTGTGAACTGATCTCACCATTTTGGAGAGCAATTTGGAACTATGCCCAAAAGGCTATAAAATTATGCATACCCTTTGAACCAGCAATACAACTTCTAGGACTGTGTCCCACAGAGGTAAAAACGGGAAAAGAACCCATGTGTACAAAAATATTTATAGTAGCTCTTATTGTGGTGGCAAAGAATTGGAAATTGAGAGGATGCCCATCAATTGGGGAATGGCTGAGCAAGTGGTGGTATATGAATGTAATGGAATACTATTGTGCTATAAGAAATGATGAGCAGGAAGACTTCAGAAAAACCTGGAAAGACTTATATGATCTGATGCTGAGTGAAATAAGCACAGCCAGGAGAACACTGCACACAGTAAACGCCACACTCTGCTAGACTTAGCTCTCCTCAGCAGTGCAAGGGTCTAAGAAAACTCCAAAAGACTCATGATGGAAAATGCTATCCACATCTAGAGAAAGAACTCTGGAGTCTGATGGAGTCTGCAGATGGAAGCAGACTATTTGCTCTCCTTTCCCTTTTTTGTTTTGTTTTATTGCTTCGTTCTCATGGTTCCTCCCATTAGTTCTAATTGTTCTTTACATCATGACTAATGGGAAAATGTGCTTAATGTGAATGTATAAGCAGAGCCTGTATCAGATTGCACACCATCTTGAGGGGGGGGGAGCAAATTTAAAACTCAAAATCTTATGAAAGTGAATGTTGAAAACTAAAAATTAACTAATTATTTTTAAAAAGAAAGATGAAAAATGCCCATATGGACAAAAATATTTATGGTAGCTCTTTTTAAGGTGAAAAGAACTGGAAAGTGAAAGGATGCCCATCAATTGGGGAAGGGCTGGACAATTGATGGTGTAGAAATAGGATGGAATATTATTATTGCTCTATAAGAAATGATGAAGGGCATCTTTCTGATGGCTCCTCCTATTGGTTTTAATTTTTACTTACAACTTCCCTAATGTGAAAATATGTTTAATGGGTATGTAAATGTAACGCCTATATCAGATCGTGCGCCGTCTTGGGGAGGGTGGGGGGGGAGGAAGAGGGAGAAAAATTTTCAACTCAAAAGCATATGGAAGTGATTGTTGATAAATCAAAATAAATTAATAAATTTTTTTTAAAAAGAAATGATGAAGGGGATAGATTCAGAAAAGCCTGGGAAGACTTGTATGAACTGATGTAAAGTGAAGTGAGCAGAACCAGGAGAATAATGTATACAACAACAATACTGTAAAGATTAACAACTTTGAAACACTTAGGAACTCTGATCAACACAATAGAACCAATCCCAGTTCCAGATGATTCATGATAAAAATCTGTCAGTGAAACCTTCTCAATTGATCGACCTCTTGTGCATATATTATACAATGACTTTTTTTTGGTGAGGTAATTGGGGTTAAGTGACTTGCCCAGGGTCCCACAACTAGTAAGTGTTAAGTGTTAGGTCTGAGGTCACATTTGAACTCAGGTCCTCCTGACTCCAGGGCCAGTGCTCTATCCACTGCCACCTAGCTGCCCCTATACAATGACCCATGTTGTTTACCCCTAACAATAAAGGCTTGTTGAATTGAACTGGCTTGATCCAGGAGCTGACTTTGTGCTCTTGAACAGGGAAAGACCCTCTTGATTCTAAACTAAGTTCTTCTTTGAAAAAGCGTTCCCCTTGGTTCTTTGGCTCGTCTGTGGTGGCAGCATGGCCTGTCCCGGGACCCAAGCCAGGTGTCAGTGGGGAATCCATGGCCATACTGTGTGTTTCCCCCCCCCACACTCCCCACTCAGATCTCCTTGGTAGCTGTGGAGGGAAGGTGCACATCACTAACACCTTTCCTTCCTTCTGACATGAGCTCCCAACTACCCTGTCTACATCTTCTGTAGACAGTTGTTTGCATGTTATCTTCCCCTTGGAGTGTGAGCTCCTCTGAGGCTGAGACTGTTTTTGCCTTTCTTTGTGCCCCCGTACTTAGCAGAGTGCCTGCCACATCGAATTCACTCCATAAATGCTTGTTAACCTACTAACCCACTTTCATCTCTTTGACCCAGGCAGTCGACAAGCACTTATTAGGCCCTTACTAAGTACCAGGCATTCTGCTAAGCATGGGGGACAAAACAGTCCCCATTCTGCCATTTAGAACCTAAGACAACTTGTCCCTGTCCCCCCCCCTCCCCCGCCCCGGCCTCAGTTTCAGTATCTGCAAAATGATTTTGGTGGACTAAATGATGCCCAAGGGCCCACCCAGCTCTGATGTCGTGGGAGGGGGCTGCAGTGGTAGGCTGCTCTCCATCACGGTCTGAAAGTAACTTGGTCCCCAGGTACCTCCCAGCATGGCCTCCAGAAGGCACGCGTAAGGAAGAGAATATGCAGAGTAAGCACGCCCAAGGAGACCCCGCTTCCTCTCCAAACAGCTGTTGGGGAATAAAGGAAAGCAGAATAAGGCCTCTGTGACCCGCACAAACAGCCCGCTAGCAGATGCGAGGAGAACAGGACTGCAGAGACAGGATGGACGGAGGAGAGGAGGCGTCACCGGGGCTTTCGAAGCCTCAGTACCGAGGGGTGAGCTATGAACCTGTGTCGGGGGCGGGGGCGGGGAGCCCCGAGGGTGCTGGGGGCGGGGCTGGGGGCGCGCGGAGCACTTAGAATCACCAAATACCAGGGCTGTCGAGGACGTGGCTGGGGGCGCACGAAGCACTCGGAACCACCACGCACCAGGGGTGGAAGGAGACTGCTCGGAGGCCTTCTGGTCCAGCCCAGCCCGGCTCAGTCCTCCCCCAGCAGCCCTCGGACTCCGGGGCTGCACCTGCCACATCCTAGCAGCCTTTTCCAAAGAACAAGGGAAATATGCGTCCTACTTAAATCTAGACGCCTAAAACTTCAGTACAAGAAAAGGATATTTAAAATAAATTTATTTATATATATATTTATATATATATATATATATATATATATATATATATATAATATATATATAATATATATATTATATATATATGTATGTATGTATATTGTCAATATATATATATATATATTGACTATGTATGTATGTATATTGTCAATATATATATATATATATATATATTGAAAAAGCTTCAGCACAATCCTCACTCTCTTCAGGATTCAGCAGCCCTGTCATCTAACCACAGCACACCCCTGTCACACTTGAGGAAAGTGAGGCTCAGAGAACCTTGCCCAGAGTCACACTGTAAGTTTCAGGGACAGGATTTGAATCCAGGTCATCCGATTCCAAACCCAGCCCTCTATCTCCGGTGACCCTAAGGGAGAACAGCTTTTCTCTTCCCCAGGGACAGTTCATGTCTGGGGTCCTCCAATAATATGTAGTGGCCAGTTTTCGAAGGCCTCCCGCAGGAGTATGCTCCCAGCTTATGAATGAATGAATGAATTAATGAACAAATGAAGGAAGGAAAGAAGGAAGGAAGGAAGGAAGGAAGGAAGGAAGGAAGGAAGGAAGGAAGGAAGGAAGGAAGGAAGGAAGGAGGGAAGGAAGGAAGGAAGGGAGGGAGGGAGGACGGAAGGAGGGAAGGAGGGAAGGAAGGAAGGAAGGAAGGAAGGAAGGAAGGAAGGAAGGAAGGAAGGAAGGAAGGAAGGAAGGAAGGAAGGAAGGAAGGAAGGAAGGAAGGAAGGAGTTTACTATTAAGGGTTTACTATGTGCCCATCCCTAGACTTGCTAAATCCATTGACTATCCTCACAGGATGACAAGTGCCTTGAACGTAGTAGATCCTCAGTAAGTAGTCAGGAGGGGGAAAAATTATATGCCCTCAGCTGGTCAGATGAGGGGGTTGAACAAGGTCCTTTCTAAGGCCTCTCCAACTCTAAAGCTATGGCTGAGCAATTTCAACAGAGGCTTCTGATTCTTGGAATTATTCTCTCTGATTCCCATTTGCCAGGACAAAAATGTGCTAAATAATAAATTAATGGGATCCATCCTATCCTATCCTCTGCCACTTCGCTAATGGATAGTTCATAGATAAAGGGCTGGGCCTAGAATCAGGAAGAAATCAGTTCGAATCCTGCCTCACTTAGGAGCTGTGTGACCCCAGTTAAATCACAGCCTCCTTCACCTTTGTAGCCTCATCTGCAAAATGGGGTTGGTAGTAATAGTAACTACCTCACAAGGTTGTAATAAGGTAATATAGACCATTTGCTTTGCAAACAAATCCCTACATAAATGTCAGCTGTGATGATGATGATAATGATGATGATGATTAATTCCAAGATTCAAACTAACTCAGGTATATCCCTCAATAGCTTTTTGTTTTTTTAATGCTTCAATCATTTCTTATCTGTTCTGCGGAATTTTCTTTTTTTCTAGTCTGGCTTCCTCTTCTCATCCTCCATTTGAATTCCAGAGGACAGAGGCAAGACTGGCTGTATCATAACTTGTCGCTAGAAACTGAGAAAAGATGTCTTCCTTCTCCTTACCACTGTTTCCACAGCTTCCTCTTCCTCAAAGACTCCAGCCCAAAATGACCTTTGTTTTCCCAGAACTGAATAAGAGACTGTGATTGGGCGTCTCTCTATCAGTCTCTCCCTCCCTTCACCTTTCCAGCTCTCTCCTCTTTCTCTGTCTCTGTCTCTCTCTCTGTGTCTGTCTCTGTAAGTTATTGTCTGTCTGTCTGTCTGTCTCCTCTTCTCTCCTCTCTCTCTGACAATCTATGTCTATGTCTTTCTCCCCTGCCTTCTGCTTCTCTCTCTCTCTCTCTCTCTCTCTCTCTTTCTCTCTCTCTCTCTCTCTCTCTCTCTCTCTCTCTCTCTCTCTCTCTCTCTCTCTCTCTCTCTCTCTCTCTCACACACACACACACACACACTAAATTTAGAGGTGAAAAGGACCTCAGTAGCCATCTTACCCAGCCTATACCCTAAGCCAGAGGGTCTTAACCTGAAACCCATGAAATTGGTGTTTTTTCTTTGTTTTTTTTTTTTGTTAAGTGGTTGACTGGTTTTTTTTTACATTTGCATTTCACTATAATTGGTTTGCTTTACAATTCTATGTATTTTATCTTATTCATTTAAATTCTGAGGACTCAGTGACTTTGTCAGGCTGCCAGAGTGGTCCATATGAACCCCTGCCTTACAGGACATCCCATTACAATAGGTAACTAAGTGGTACAGCGGATGGAGTGCTGGATCTGGATTCAGGAAGACCTGAGTTCAAATCAAGCGAGTCACTCAGCCTCTGTGTGAAGATAATTATAGCACCTCCCTTTGAGGTTGTTGAGAAGACAAAATGAGATCATCTGTAAACCTAAAGCACTATATAAATGCTTGCTATTACACTCATCCTTATTCTTAAAGCACTGGACAGACGTTGCCACCCTCTGGGTGAAGCCCTCCATCAAGGAGCTACCCTGCCCTCCCCCCTCCCTCCACTTTTGGATGCTCTGCCATTGGAGTCATTCTTCTGGACGATGAGCCAGTATCTGTTTCTTTGCCCTCTGGGATGGTGCAGACCAATTCTAAGCCCCCTTCCACATGACAGCCCAAGAGATGCTTGAACACAATGATCATGTCTCCCCCACCAATGTCTCTCCTCCAGACTCAATACCCCCAGTCCCTTCCACTGATCATGTATCATGGGCTTAAGGCCCTTCCTTCTTCATCCTGGTTGACCTCCTCTGAATGCTCTCCAGCTTGTCCATTACCAAAGCTGACCCCAGAACTTCCTACATGGCCTGACCAGGGAAGAGATCACAGCCCATCACTTCCTTAGTCCATCTGAGTGTTGGGTCCTTGAGCCCTGGGAGTCAGGAAGCCCTGCCTTTGACACACCCTGGTCATGGGACCTTGGATAAGTTGTGTCCCTGGTCAGTGCTCCCAAGACCCTCCTCCAAAAGAGAAAGGGGGGTAGAGGGAGACTTGTTCCACTTTACAAATCTCTGAATCCATAGGCAGACCCCAAGCCCATTCCTACCGTGAGCAACCTTCTCCTTTGAAGAGTTACCTTCAAACCCTTGTAGGGTCTTTACTTACCCTTAGCCTGATGAAACCAGCCCTAGTGCTGGGAAAGAGCAAAGGGCCATTGAATGGAGGGGGCCATATTCTGCACAAATAGATATGAAAAAAAAAACCAATGTCCACAATTAAACCATCACCATGTTGCTATATTTGAGGTCAAAGACCAAGGGCCTACAGCCCCAAAGAGTCACAAGGCAGCTTAACTGGGCTAATTTGAGTAGACCATTAAGACCATAAGAACTCCAGTCTCAACAGAGCCACAGAAGACTCCACCATTATCTTCAGTTCATTGACACTATAGACCAAAACAACTCTAGTCTATCATGTCAATGTGTACTCAGGGAGTCTTTAGGCCACGGATCATTTCCACCTTACGTCATGCAAACTCTGCAGGAGGGGCTCTGCTCCATGGCATGGATGAATACTTAGGGACTCCTACGTTCCTGGATCATTGACGGCGCATCATGTCAATGCATACTCAGGGAGCTCTTAATCCGTAGGTCTGCACATGCAGAGGACCCATGGACACTCGAAATCCTTATGAAATCCTCGTTACACTGCATACCCAGTATTCACTTTTCTAAATGGCATGTCAGCAGATTTACCGGGCTACAAATAACTCCTCCAAGGGGCCAAATACTTCTCCAGGCACAACTTCAGATAACAGACTATTGGCTTTGCAGAACTGCAGAGCAGCCGGGACAGAACTGGGCATTTTCTTTTGAATGAACAAAGGCAAAAGCACTTTGCTTAGAAAAAGATATTGTGCTCTCTCTCTAGCTCTCTCTCTCTCTCCCTTCCCCCTTCTCCCCCCCCCACATCTCTCCTTTCCTTCTCTTCTCTCTTCTTCTGTCTCATGTCTCCTCTCTTGATTCTCTTCCTCTATTTGTCTATTCTCTTTGGCTCTCTCCTCCATCTCTTTGTCCTTCCTCTCTTTTCCTCTGTACCTCCCATCTCTCACAATTTCTCTCTCTTCTCTCTCCTCTGACTCTTCCCTCTCTTTTTTTCTTTGTATCTCTGTTTCTTCTCTCCTTCTTTGTGTTCTTCCTTTCTCTCCTGTCTTTCTCCATGTTCTTCTGTATATCTCTCTTCTCTTTCAATGTCTAGGTTCTCTATGTCTCTTCTGTCTCTCTTTTTTCTCTTCCCTTGTGTCTTTCTTTGTACAATGTCACAAAACTCTTAGTTCAGTTTTAAGCTATTAAAGCTTAATTGCTTTTGGGATACCCTGTATACATATTTCTTTGTGATTCTTCTCTTTCTCTCTCTTCACTCTTCTCTCTCTGTGTCCATTCTTTCTTTCTCTCTCTCTCTCTCTCTCTCTCTCTCTCTCTCTCTCTCTCTCTCTCTCTCTCTCTCTCTCTCTCTCCTCTCTCTCTCTCTCTCTCTCTCCCTCCCTCTCCCTCTCCCTCTTCCTCTCCCACCCCTCCCCCATTTTTCTGTTCTGCCTTTCCTCTCTTGTTTTTGCCTTTTCTATCTTTTTTTTCAGAATCTTCTTAATTATGTCCTGCTGTTCCCCTGGGATTTTTCCCACTGAAGAAGCATTTGTCATTCTCCTCCTTCCACCTCTATCCCCAAACACTGC